TATAATCATTATTCTGAATTCTAGTTCCGACATCTTACTAATGTCCATGCTGATTAGATCCCTGGCAGTCAGTACTTGTTCTTTTTTTTTTTGAGGTGAGTTTTCCCATCTTCCCCTTCTGTCCAGAGAAGAATAGATGAATGGGAGAACAAAGTACTAAAGTGGCAGCAACGACCCCAAAATATGGAACTCTTCATGAATTTACACATCATTCTTGCCCAGGGGCTATGCTAACCTTCTCTCTATTGTTTCAGTTTTAGTATATGTGCTGCTGAAGTGAGTACCTGGTTTGATATTCTTACTCTGCACTCAGTTGCGAGGCCCCACAGAAGGGAAGAGAGGATGATTCATTTAGCCTGAGGATGTGGAATGGTTAATTTTGCCTGTCCACTTGGAGAATATTTTGGATAAAATTGACATTTAAATTGGCGACCTTCAAGTAAAGGAGAATGTACCTCGGAACATTGCTTGGCCTTGTCAAATCAGTGGAAGGCCTGAAAAGAACAAGAAGAATGACCTCCCAAAGAACGTGGAATTCTCCCACAGACTGCCTTCAGATTCCTTCTGCACCATTGAGTCTCCTGGGCTTCAGGATGCTGGCCAAAACTGCAGCTGTGGAGTTGACGGCCTCCATAGGCACATGAGTAAAGCTCTCATTATCTCTCTGCCCGTCTACATGTCACACTAGTTCCATTTTCTGGAGAAGTCTGACCAAAATAGGTGGGTGAGGAAGACTAACAGCAGGTGATATTTGTGCCCAGCTTTCACAGGACACAGGCTGTTGGCCCGAGTGATCCAGAAGGAAGGTTCTAGAACAGAAAGCCTGGAGGCTGATGGTGAGAACCTGAAGGTTTTGGAGGGGAAGAGATTTCAGGAGGTGAAATGGGCCAGGGAGGTTTTGTGGGAAATCCCTTAACAGTCATGAGTTTCAGGCAGAAAAATCATTGGGAACACACTGTCTGCAGAAGGCTTAGAGGGTGATCTAATTTCCAAAGAGCTGACTCAGGTCCCTGCCATCTCCTTTACCAAAGTGAGGGTCGGGGTCTCTAGAGATTAAGGATGCACATCTCCTAATTCCAGTCCTCAGCTGCTCTCCTCTCTAGAAAGGCCTGGGGTGACCATGCTGATGAGGGACAGGAGGGAGAGGCTGCAAAGGCTGGAGCACAGAGAGGGAGAAGAAAACAAAGAGGGAGGACCTGACTTTAAAAAAATGACCAGAAGCTGTTTGGAGTCATTTACCTTATTACATCAAATTCTGAAACCGATGTATTTCTTGTGTCTCCATTTTTCAGAACCATACAAATTTTTGAAACAAGCCTAAACTTCTTAAGATGTTGGGAATCTTGTACCGAACACTTTTCTTCCTGAGCCGTATGACAGAGCTGTCACACTGATGTCCTCCCAGTTTTCATGATGTCCCCTAATGCCAACATTTTAGGATGTATTTTCCCCACACCAGGACATTCCCCTGGGTCACCACAGGATCATCTCTTAGAAGGTCTCATGGTACCTGAGGGCCTCCTCATCCTCAGACTCTGCTTCAAGTTGTTCCAGCAATATACAATATGGTCAAAGAGATTGATGGACTTGGGCTTTTTCCATTTCCTGCATGTGCTGAAAATGAGGGTTAGAGTGTTTGATTTGCCTTTTTGGTCAATCGTTTAATTTTTAAATGTAGGTGAAGAGATTTAGATGTAGGAGTCCGCCGGGACTGTATGTTGTCCAGAAGTTCTCAATACATATTGGAAAGCTTTGTTCAGCTGGTGTTTTGACCCACCTTTGTGTCATTTTTTGACAGTGGTTCAGATTAGTCTTAAGTAGAGAGAAACAGAAATCTCCTAACACATTGTATATATTGTGCCTCAGTTGGATATCATATGGCTAATTTTTTGCTATGACACATAGCACTGCCGTAAAAAATCCTACATCTCTATTGCTTTTTGGTCCTCATGTGTTTCTAGCCTTGAATTAACACTGGGATTGCCATGCAGTACCATGAGCACACCAACCACCGTCTGGATAGGGTGAAATATAGGGTGAGTGAGTGATTTCATTTAAACTCCTACCAACCCATAAGAGAATTCTTGTTATTCCATTTCCTGTCCACCACTTGCTATAGTTCTCTTTAAAATTTGAGTCAGTTTGATGCATGTATAAAGCAAGCCTGTTGTTCTTCGTGTTATCCTGATTACTTGGGATGTGTTTGGTGATTTCATAGGCTGATTTATTGTCTGTAACTTGCTCTAAGCATTTGCACAGATCTTAGGAGAAACAGATTTATAATTATTTACTTGCATGAGCTCTTCATATATTCTGGATACTGATCCTTTGCTCATGAGGGAATAAATCACCTTTTAGAAGCAGATCTGTTTCTGCCATGAAGATTCACTGTGCACTGAAGGAGGATGACAGGAAAGTCAGTGCTGCAGGTAAGGGACCTAGGGAAATCGGGAAGAGTCTCAACTGCTTCATTCCCAGAATATCTGTTAAATTCCGAAGTGTCAGGATCATGTCTGAGACTGACAGATGACGGCCTGAAAGTTGATTTCCGAGCCATCCTTAAATTCTGTCTGCACAAGAAATCTAGCAGAACCACACAGTGGAGGAAGAACAAAATTCCATGAATTCTTATGGGATATAAAACAAATTTCAGATTTTTTTTAATAAGAGATATGATTATCTCAATATATTTTGATGGAAATAAATTGCTGAAGAAAATAATCGCATTATATATATATATATATTTTTAAAGATTTTTAAAAATTTACTAATTTTTGAGAGAGAGAGAGAGAAAAAAAAAATGCGTGAGTAAGAGCAGGAGAAGGGCAGAGGGGAAAAGAGATTCCCTGCTAAGCAGGCAACCAGATGCAGGAATCCTACCCAGGACCCTAAGATCAAGTCCTGAGCTGAAAGCAGATGCCCCACCAACTGAGCCACCCACACCCTGGGAAATAATCACATTATAAAATATCCCATTTAAAAGTCAATGAAGGGGGCACCTGGGTGGCTCAGTGGGTTAAGCCTCTGCCTTTGGCTCAGGTCATGATCTCAGGGTCCTGGGATCGGGCCCGCATCGGGCTCTCTGCTCGACAGGGAGTCTGCTTCCCTCTCTCTCTGCCTGCCTCTCTGCCTGCTTGTGATCTCTGTCTGTCAAATAAATAAATAAAATCTTAAAAAAAAAAATAAAAGTCAATGAAGTTAATGGGTTGATTTTAAGGAATGTAAAATATACTTAATAAAATTGTTAAAAAAAGATTTTTAAAAAGTCAATGAGGACACAGAAAATATCCCTGAAGTTCTATAGCTTCAAACAATATCTTTTTGGTGATACTGTCTGCAAAGACACGGTCCCCTTACACAGAAGAATCCAATATTGCACAACCAAAGGACAAGATGGAAAATGTTCTCTTTGTTGAGATTCCTCAGTCAAGTATTTAAACATTTCAGTGCAAGAATTCCATCACTTATCACTGACAGAAAATGGCATAGAATATGCCAAGGGGAAGTGCTGAACAGGAGAGCCACCAAATGCAAGAAGGGACATGGGAAATTCCCTGTCCTGCACCACGTGGTTGGACTGAGGTCTCTAGATTTGTAAATGTGAAAATGCTGGTGGTCTAATGATGAACAGCAGCTCATTCAAAGGCAGCTGGTCCAGAGGCAGAGTCGCTGAGTTGGTCTCACTCTCAGGGGCTTCTTGGTAGCCTTGGCAGCCTAAGAAAAGAACAGATGTTTGTCTCCGTGGCTGAGGAAATCCTGGGTCTCTTGTCCTGGGGCTGCCCTTCACCAGCACTCCCCACACCAGAGCCCAGCTCTCACCCAGGGACATGCATTTCCCCCCACCATGACCATAGCCCTGGGCCCAGCCACCTTTACAAACCTCCTCCCGCCTGAACCAAATCACTGAGTTAGCCCCAGACCCTGTTTCCAATGGTCTGGGCTCAGGACCAAAGCGAGTAAGAAACCAACGTGCTCACATGACTCTGGTTCCTATGCTCCCTCTCATGGCAGGTCATAAGGATCTGCTGGGGGATCTGACAGAAGACAGGGGCCTGCACTGGACACCTCTGATCTTGGGGAACACTGTGGGCAAAGGTCCTTCTTTTCCCTTCCCTCCCAGCCTCCTGGTGAGCAGCACAAAGAGCTCTTAGTCTGATGATCCCTTCCCCCATCCCCCCATCCCATCCATTCTTGGTCTGGCTCAGCTGGGAGCTCACAGGGGAGCTCCATTAGCCCATCTCCCAGGTCAGCCCTGCCCAAAGCAGGGGCTGCTCAGTGGCTCAGGATCTGAGGTCTGCAGGAAGCTAGCTGCCGGGACGGCACTAGTCTCAGCCAGGATTCCCACTGTTGCACGGAGAACTGGCCTCCTTCTATTCCTGTCAGGCACGGTCTCTACTGGGCACTTACTGCCTTACATGCAAAGACACAAGCCATGTTCTGGGGGAACACGGCACTACTGTCTAGCCTTTTGAGTTGGTCTGCAGAAGCCTTCCCACTCCCTCTACCTGGGATTAGACCCTGGCTCCCTGTCCTTGTAACTGCTGGGATGGGGTCCCCTTCTCCTTGAGACGTCTCATGGAGCCGCCATGCTGCTCTCTCTCAAAGGGGAGTACGGCCCATGCTGTGTGTCCCTGCTGTCACCACACCACCCACCCTGGGCCCAATTTGACTCTTTCCAATGGAGAACCGGGTCAGAGCCAGGCCTGACTTCCCTCAATCTGTTTAGCACTGACAGGCCTTAAGCAGTGGTGTGGGACCCTCCCCTTTCCCAGTGGCCTTAACAGTGAGTGAGGCCATATCAGACCTCAGGGCCAAGCTTGCCCAAGTTGTTGCCAGCACGTGGTATGAGATCTCATTCACCTGGTCCCCCTGCCCTGTGAGAAGGTTCAGAGTGGGCAAGGGTGAAGCTGGGAATTCACTGTTCCTTGTGCTCACACCAGGCCATCTGTTCCTCCCTTCCTTCTCAATCTGCTCTCACTACCTGTCCTTCTGAAGAAGTTCTACACAGAGTGTTGATTTTTGATGATGATTATGCAAATTATGATGAGGACGATGAGGCTGGCGATGATGGAGCTCATGATGAAGATCCAGATGTTCCTGGTCTGGGCCATGTCTTGCCGCGTGGTTGGTGGCACTGAAATGAAAACGCAAGGATCAGAGCCCCCGTCCAGACCCCAAACTGAGCTAGCTCAGCTCCTGCTGGCCCAGGTCCATCCTACCAGGCAGATGGTATCTATCACAGTCCTTGTGGCAGTTGCTGTGACCAATCCTAATGTCAAGAGGGAGGGAGGGGATGCACCCTGTCCCATAGGGGCTCCTCTGGCAAAAAGGGGAAGCAGGGTTTGCAATGTAAGCAGTCACTCCTGCTGTGACAGCCAGTAGGTGATGCAGGACAAGGATGGTGAAAGTGACAGTCTAGGTGGCACTGAAGGATTCCCATCAATACACCAGGTGACATGGAAAAGACAATGATTCTCAGAAAAGGGATCAGTAAGAACACCATCTCTGGAAACAGATTGATGTTTCCCTGTTTGGGGCAGCAAGAAATCCAAGAAATACCTGAGCACAAAGTGTGTGCAGTGAGGAAAAAAATCCAGGAGGTGAAAAGGGAAAAGAAGGATGCTAGAACATTCCCATGGCCATTATACTGCCAGGAAGAATTCGCCATGGATGGATCAATTTCTCTCTCTCTCTCCCTTAGACACACACACACACACACACACACACACACACACACACACACACCATACTGTGGGGCAGGTGGAGCTCATCTCAAGAGAACCAGCACTCCATCCAGTCTTCTGCGTTACCTGTGGTCTTCTGCGTTTCATCCCAGTGCTCCCACACTTGCTGAAGCCAGCTCTGACAGTCTCCGTTTGTGATCTTCATGAGGGGCTCGGTCAACTCTCTGTCACCATCCAACATATCCTTAACCTGTTGGCCTCCAGAATGATCCACTGTCCACTTTCTGTTCTCCAGTTCAAAGAGTGGTGTTATCTGCTCATTGAAGTCAAGCTGCCAGGATTCTCTGGCATGTCCATCGGCCCCACGCTCACACATGAGCCTGCCCTGCATAGTGAGAGAACCTGCACCCGCCCCCAGCAGGGGTACAAGTCAGCCTTTGGTCCTGACCAATCCTTTGTCCCACCCACTGTGCTCTCCTCAGCTCACTCCCAGCCCTCCTGGTCCTGCTCTGGCCTCCTTGTCTACCCTAGCTGCTGGACCCCGTGTGTGGGACCCACTTGGAAGTTTTATGTGAACAAAATAGCTCCCCAGCCCTGACAAACTGTTCTCCTTCTACCCTGGGCCTTCAGACTCACCGCTCTTAGTGAAATTCTCTGCTTTGATGTCCAGCAGTTTCTTTCTGAGCTCTTCCACCAGGAGTTTCACAGTTTCCTCCTGTTTCTGCCAAAATGCTGTGTCCTTCAGCTTCATCCCCCAAGGACCAATGGGTTTGAACTCCTTGGTCTGACAGTCATAGGAAAGAAACTTGTTTCCATTGACCTGGACTTGAATCTCACACCACGATTGTCCAGGCCCGGCTTGAGATGTGATGGAGAAATTGTAGGAAAGGGAGAGAGCATCTGTGAAGGGAAAACACAGGTGGAGGTTGGGGCTGGAAAAAAAAGAGCAGCAGGCACCCCTCTGCCATCCAGGTGACAGCAATCGCATCCTTGTAGGGCTGAGCTGGCAGAACAAAGACTGTCCCTGCATAGTCCCTCCCCCCAGTAGTAGTGGCTGGCACTCTTCCCTTGTTGGGATAGAATCAGGATGCTTCTGCCTGGTAGGAAGCCACATAGCCATTGAAATATCCCCTGTGTCTATGAGACTGATACCCAGCATCACTCAGCCTTTGACAGAACAGATATAGCAAGAAATGCCAAACACAAAACTAACAACATGTCTTCCAACTATGCTCATGGAGAGGTCTGGAGGACTCTTTATATCAAGACTGCACTGCAAGAAGGGCACCAGCGTTGTCAAGAAGCTTGGTGACATCTGTCTGATGGCCAACCTTGGCTGAAGGAGGTGGTGTTACAGAAAGTGTTACAGGTGGTGTTACTGGCACCTGCCCAGTAACAATGGGGTGAAGAGAACGAAATAGGAGATTTGAGGTGCAGATGCCCAACCGTCCGAATCGGGGACACAGCAAAAGACTGAAATGATCCTAGAGGTTGGAATGCCAACCAGGCCTGTCCCACAGAAAACTCTCCATCCCTTGGGCTCACAGAACACGGTGATCCTGGAGGCAAAAACAGCCAACCTAGACGTTGCTGGATTTGAACAATGGAAACAAAGACCGAGCCCCAGAATGGACGAGAAGGAGTCTGAAAGCAAACAGACTCTGGATCCTTTGCCTGCGTTCCAGACCTGAGCCCCTTCTCAGTGCTGGAACCCTGAAGGAAGAAGCAGAAGCAAGCTATCCATCAGAAAGGACCCTTCAGGTCAACAGCAAGAGCAATGCTTCCTGCTGGCCTTCTGCAAAGGGTCATATGGTCATTCCCAGGGCTGGGTAGACACTGGGGAGCAGAGACCATGCAGACATTGTCAGTGGACCTAGTGTGTGAGTTGACATTGCTCTCAGGGATCCTAGTGTCATTGGGGCCTCTGTCATTGAAATAGTGCAGGTCAGCTGGTGTTACAGAGAACAAGAAGTCACCTGCGCCAGGTCCTGCTCACAGTGACTCAATTAGCTCAGGTACCCACATAGTTGTTCTTTTCCATTCCCCATATTTGTTACAGGAGTGAAAACTGTTTATAGCTGAATTATTTGCGGGTTGGGGGCTGGATGGCAGAGACATTCAAGTACAACATTCTCACACTGTCTACACTTTTCTCCAAACACAATGTTAAAAACAGCGCCCTACACTGGATGAAATGAGAGTTGAGCATCAACCCTAAAACCTCTGTAAGGACACAGGGGTGTGAACCCTATCCTATTTTCACTGAAATGCGGGCCTGGTGAAAAGATTCTCTGAATATATTAATATTGCCTAGGTCTGTGTTGTAATTGCTCGAGTCTGTGGCCTTAGCAGGGAAGCAGCCAGAGACAATATGTGAATGAATGTGTGGCTGGACCTGCTCCTTGGGCCACACGACCCTATGACACAGATACTGTAGGAAAATGTTCTGTGCCCTTTGTCACATCCTAACATTGGAATGTTAGGTACAGACACCATCTTGTGATAGAAGGAGGGAAGGACAGTTGAGTTAGGGAAAATCACAGCCCCAAGAGGCAGGTGTGGTCCAGGGACCTGGAGGGAGGAGGTCTGTGGTCATGGAGTATCAGAGCCGCCCACCCTGAGCTGGGTGGTGCTGAGATGTGGCTGGTGAAGGAGCGCGGCGTTGCTTAAGCCTTGAACCTTTGCCCAAGGGTGCCCGGAAGTGTAATGGTGAACAGCAGTGGGGTTAGTGACTCGTGGAGAAGTTGCGTCAGCTTCAGAGTCGCGGGGTTGTGTGGGGTCCAGGCCCTGCGCGACTGCCCTGTCCAGCACATAGCCCGGGGCTCCGGGGCTGGGTACCGGTTCACCGAGGGGCAGGCGGAGGCTGGGGCCGACCGCAGGCTCCCCGCTGCGGCCTCGTTCCCCTCCCCCTGGCTCCGTGCTCCCAGAGCCTGGCAGTTCATGGTCGCCCAGGTCCCCTCTTTTCCGTTCCACGGGGCGACAAAGTCCCGGCGGACTCCGAGGAGCGGGAAAGGAGCCTGAGGCGGGGACTTGCTTGGGGGTGAGGAGAGGGGACGGCGGTCCTAGCTGGCGACAAGGTTCCCAAGGCCCCGGGACTCACCTTTCTCTGCTCCCCGGGCGTCACGGCCACGACCAACCCGGACTGTGCCGCGGTGATCCCGCGCAGCAGCCGCAGCAGTAGAAACAGGAGCGGCAAGCGCCCTGTGAACTTGGTGGCGGCCGTGGGCTCCATCGCTACACCGAGTCGGGGGCGGTTTCTGAACAAACCCGCGGGCGGGGAGGCGGAGGGCGCTTCCTGGGGCCGCGCCAGGGCTCTGCAGGTGTTTATGTCTCTTTCATCCAAGTGGGACTGCATCTTGACAGGTCCATCCATCCAGGAGAAACTGCGCAATGATTCTTCCAGTCTTCTCAGTGCTGCTCTTCTATTTATAAGCAGAATCTTACCGCTGAGCCGCACTGGACCTTCAGCCCGAGGAAGACAAATGGCATTTAAAATTAAAAAAAAAAAAAAAAAAAGTAAATATGGCCAAACCACATAAAATTTATATCTGGGTCATTTTTAGTGTACGTTAGAGCACAAACCGAGGGTTGCTAGAGGGCAGGAGTGTGTGGTGGAGGGAGGGTTAAATGGGTGATGGCTATTAGGGAGGGCACTTGTGATGAGCTCTGGGTGTCCTATAAAGGTGAGGAATGGTGAAATCCTATCCCTGAAGCAAAGGAATTACCACTGCACGGAAACGAATTTGAATTGAAATCAATGAAGAAAAGAAGACCGTGTTCTGCTTCATGAAGAGTGAGGTAAAATGGAGCGATTTTCGCTCTCCTATTCTGTCTATGATCATTTTCAAACACACTGTGGTAGGATACACTAGTTTCTTACTGCATAAGGAGTCCTCAGAAAGCTGCCATGAAAGACTCAGATCTCAGAGCAGGTACATGTTCCATTTCTATGTTCCTTACAGTTTGCCCAGGTACAAAGGTAAGTGGAGAGAAATAGGACAGAAGAGGAAAGGAGGTGTTAAGCATTCAGGAGGTAGCCTTTTCCCTTTCTCATGAAAGACTTGGGCCAGTGTAATTTTGGAAGAAGGAGGGGGCATCCCAGAGCTTTGCGGCAGGTGGGAGCTCCAGGTCTGCCTAGAGCTGACAGGGGTCCCTGAGGTGAGCTGAGCTAAGGGCATGGCAGGCCCGATCTGCCAGTGCTGAGGCGGGTTCCCTGGGGTGCTGAGTTGAGGTGGGGTCAGACAGCGTGTCAGGCTGTGGGTTTGTAGCCAGGGGGCTCCAGAAGGTCGGGGTGTCCTCAGGGGGTCATGCAGGTTTCTCCGGCTCGGAAGAGTTCTGCACAGCTCCAAACGGCACAGTTTCCATCTTGGTGGCAAGTGGACTCCTGGGGTGTGGCTCCAGGGTCCAGAATCTGGATGGCTTGGGGAACAGGCCCCTGGGGACAGAAGCCTGAAAACCCAACCCAGGGTTTGGAATAGGGCCTAGGGTCATAGTAGGCCTGATCTGCCAGCTCTGAGAACGAAACCCCAGGGGGCTGAGTAGAGGGAGGGTTTGGCTACCTGTGCCCTGGCTTTTCTAGCGCTTTCTCACAGGGGTCGGACAGTGACCACTCAGGACAATATTGATTTGGGCAGAAAGCTCATGAGAATTGGCCAGCATTGTGCGGTGATTCAGGCCGCGCTGGTGCCTGCTGTTTAGAGTGCTTTCTCGCTATGTGCATGTTGCCACCATCTGGGAACTCAGGCCAGACCCACTCGATTCCCCTGAGGGCCACAGCTGAGGGGGGCTTTCCAGGGCTAGAGTTGAGGGAGGGGCTCAGGCTGAGCCTCAGGCTCCATGTTGGCAGCCCCGTGGGGCATTGAAGGTGGGGCTGGCCTCCGGAGGACATGCTGATTTCTCCTGCTCTGAGGGTTTTGTGCGGCTCGAAACAGCCAAGTATCCTCCCGGGTGCAGGAGGAGTCCTAATTTGTGGCTCAGGGGCCCCCAGTCTGGAGGGCTTGGGGACCAGAACTCTTGGGACAGAAGCCTAAAAACCAAACTTAGAGTTAGGGTTAGAGGCTAGGGGCATGGCAGACCCAATCTGTGGCACTGAGGCAGGATCCCCAGGGGGGCAGAGTTAAGGACAGGCATCATGGGGTGTGTCAGGCTCTGGGTTGATGACCGGAGGACCGTCTGAAGTTGGGGTGGCCTCAGGGAGGCATGCAGGTTTCTCCTGGTCTGAGAGTTCTGTGCAGCTACAATGGCAGTTTCCATCTGGGTGGCAGGCGTTCTCATGGGGTGTGGGTCTGGGGTCCCCAATCTGGAGAGCTTGGGGGACAGACCCCTGGGGACGGAAGCCTGAATACACAACCTAGGGTTCTGGCTAGGTCCTAGGGTCATGGGAGGCCCGATCTGCCAGCGCTGAGACCAGAACACCAGGGAGCTGAGTAGATGGAGTGTTTGGCCACGTCCATGTGCGCATGGGTTTTAGAGCACCTTCTCGCAGGGTTCGTGCTGCCACCACTCAAGACCACGGGACAGGCGCTAGAGGCTCCCCTGAAGTCCGGGACAGCTGGAAGCGAGTTCACCGGGGGTTTCTGGCCGATTTTCACAAGCTTTCTGCCCAAATCCATGTCAATTTGGGCAGAAAACTCTTTAGAATTGGCTCACATTGGGTGGCGATTTGGGCTGCGCACCCGCCCAGTACTGGGAGCGCTTTCTCGATAGGTGCATGCTGGGGTACTACAGGACTGTGGGTTGGGCCCATGTGGCTCCCCTGAGGGCCCCCGAGGTGGTGAGCTCCTGGGGGGGGCGGAGTTGAGGGAGGGGGTGAGGCTGAGCCTCAGGCTAGGTGTTTGTGGCCAGTAAGCTGCCAATGGTGGCAGTGGCCTCAAGGGGACATGCATGTTTCTTTCGCTCTGAGGGTTCTGCACAGCTCCAAAGGGAACGGATTGACTTCTGGGGTGTGGCTCAGAGGTCCCCAATCTGGAGGGCTTAGGGACCAGGCCTCTGGGAGGGGAGCCTGAGAACCCAGGGGTGGCCCAGGATTACAGTTAGGGTCTAGGGGAGTGGCAGGCCCCACCTGATGGCGCTGAGTCTGCCTCCTGGGGGTGGGGGGGCTTATAGAGGGCGGGTTTGGCCCAAGTTGGAGCAGACCCGGGCTGCAAGTGTGCCTGGTGTTTAAAGAGCTCTCTCAGAGACTTTGGGCGGCTACCATGTGGGACTCTGGGCAGGTACCAGGAGGCTCCCCTGAAGGAAGTGAGATCGCTGGCCGTTTCCAGCCAATTCTCACAAGATTTCTCCTCAAATCATCAATTTGGGCAGGAAGCTCGTGAGAACTGGCCGGCATTGGGCGGCAGTTCGGGCCACACACTGGCCCCATGCTGGGAGCGCTTTCTTACCAGGTGTATGTTGGGGCCTTGCGGAACTGTGGACCAGTCCCATGCTGCTCCCTGAGGGCCCCTGTGGAGGTGAGTTCCCTGGGGGCAGAGTTGAGGGAGAGGGTGAGACTGAGCATCAGGCTCTGGGTTTGTGGCCTGGGGGGCCTCGAAGTTTGGGGTGGCCTGAGGGGCCATGCAGGTTTCTCTGGCTTTGAGGGTTTTGGGCAGCTCCCAACTGCACGGTTTCCTGCTGGCTGGCAGGCGGAGTTCTGGGGTGTGGCTCAGGGGTACCCAATCTGGAAGGCCCGGGTGGTCAGGCCTCTGGGAATGGAAGCCTGAGAACACAGCCCAGGGTTAGGGTTAGGACCTAGGGGCATAGCAGACCCCATCAAAAGGCCCTGAGGCGGGCTCCCCAGGGGGCGGCTGAGTAGAGTGCGTGTTTGGCCAGTGTTCAGAGCCAATCCAGGCCACCTGTGCATTCGGCCTTTAGAGGGCTTTATGACAGTCTTCGGGCCATGACCACCCGGGACCTCTGGCCTGACCTAGGCAGCTCCCCCGAAGGCCTTCGCCATGAAAAGCGAGTTTGCCAGGGTTACCTGTCGAATTCTCACCAGCTTTCTGCCCAATTTGACATTGTTTTGGGCAAGCTCTCTGCTTGTGAGAATTGGAGGGCATTGTGGACGATTTGGGCCTCGCACCTGCCGGGTATTGGGAGCTGATATCGCTAGGTACATGTATGGGCCATGCGGGACCATGGGATGTTCCCATGTAGTTCCCCTGAGGGCAACCGTGGAGGTGTGTTCCCCGAGGGTAGAGTTGATGGAGTGGGTGAGGCTGAGTGTCAGGGTTTGGGTTTCTGGCTGGGGGGGGGGGGGGGCAAATGGGGGGGGGGGGGGGGGGGGCATGCAAGTTTCTCCAGCTCTGAAGGTTTTGCGCAGCTCCCAATGGCATGGATTCCTCTTGGCTGGCAGGCGGAGTCCTGGTGTTCGATCCGATATCCCCAATTTGGAGGGTTAGGGGAGCCAGGCCTCTGGAGATGGAAGCCTGACAACCCAAACTAGAGTTAGAGTTTGTGGCTAGGGGATGGCAGGCCCGAACTACCGGTGCTGAGGCAGGATCGCCAGGGGGCTGAGTGGAGGTAGTGTTCAGACGGGGCACTAGGCTTCGGGTTTGTCGCCAGGGGGACCCTCAAAGTTGGGGGTGGCCTCAGGAGTACATGCAGGTTTCTCCTTCTCTGAGGGTTCTGCGCATCTCCATGGGTCACTGTTTCCTCCTGGGTGGCAGGCAGACTCCTGGGGTGTGGCTCAGGGGTCCCCAATCTGGAGGGCTTGGGGGCCAGGCCTCTTGGGTGAAAGCCTGTGAACCCAATTCAGGGTTAGGGTTAAGACCTAGGGTCATGGCAGGCCCCAACTGCCAGCTATTAGACGGACTCCCCAGAGGGCAGAGTAGAGGACACGCTTGGCATGCGTTGAGAGGCCATCTGTGCCACAATTGCACCCTGAGTTTAGAGGGCTTTCTCACAAGCCTTGGCCCGAGACCACACGGGACCCCAGGATGGGCTAACGCGGCCCCCCTGAAGGCCCCCACTCTCGTAACATAGTTTGCCTGGGTACCTGACCAATTCTCATGAGCTTTCTGCTCAAAGCGGCATTCATGTGGGCAGAAAACTCGTGAGAATTGGCCGTCATTGTGAGGCAATACCGGCTGCATGCCCACCCAGTGGCGGGACTGCTTTCTGGCTAGGTGCATCTTGGGGACATGTAGGACCATGGTCCTGGTCCAGGCAGCTTCCCTGTCAGCAACCAAGGAGGCAAGCTCCCTGGAGGCACAGTTAAGGGGGGAGGGAGAGGCTGAGCCTCAGGCTCTGGGTTTGTAGCACAGGGATGGCACAGAAGGTGGGGGTGGCCTGAGGGGGCATACAGGTTTCTCCCAGTCTGAGGGTTTTGCGCAGGTCCCAATGGCACAGTCTCCTTTTGGGTGGTGGTTGGAGTCCTGG